CCCGCCCGGTACGACGCCGGCCCCCGAGACTTCTGCGGAGAAATCGCCATGCTCTAATCAGGCCAGTAGCAGGGGGAAGGGCAGCAAAGCTAGACCCATCGGCGATGGCAAGGGCAGCTCAGGAGGTGAAGGAGCCCGGGGCCGCAGCCGCAGTTGCGAGTTGGAAGCAGACTGGGGCGGCGGATGGAGGTCGAGCGGCGGCATGAGTAGATTTCGCAAGAGCTGGACTATCTGTAATATCAGTTGAAGGTTCCAGCGAACTCAGCCAGAGGGGTCTCGGAAGTGCAGCGGTCAACGGGTCGGGGTGGGGCTCCGTGAAGCGCATCACTTATGCGTGCCCTGCGCGCGTCGCTCTCGCGCAGGGCCGCAAGCTTCAGGCCCTGTCGGTTGCTGAAATCAGGGCCTCATTCACCAAGGAGGGTTGGCGCTCGTTTTGGGATGGAGGGATGGAGGGCTACGTCGTGGGAAAATGTACGTCTGCGGGCGCTGCAATTTTGGTCCGAGGTCGTTTGGGTTCTCGACAGCCTTCAGATACTCGCGCATGGCCCTGCAGATTTGTGAAACCCTTGGTTCTTGGTTCTTTCGAACGAGTGGGCGTGGTCAGCGTTTGCTCCGACTATTGGCTTGGCAGTGCTGTTTATTTGGGTGGGGGCGCAGCTTTTGCTTGCGCCTTTGGTAATCGTGCCGTCTCCTCTGGCTTGCTTTTCGTCTCGGGGGGGGGGGGGGGGGGGGGGGGGGCTTGCTTTTCGTCTCGGGGGGGGGGGGGGGGGGGGGGGGGGGGGGGGGGGGGGCGCGGCCTGGGGCCCCGCGCCCTGGCCCCCCCCCTCCCCCCGCGCTCCGCGAGTGCAACGTGGGGCGTGGCGCTTCCGAAGCCATGGGCAACTCGCGCATCTGGCCAGTCCAGGCAATTCCGCGATGGTTGCATACATCTTTTGCCTTGCAGCATGCCGTCGGGAATTCCGTCGCGGACGTTGGGTCTCATCTGTCGCCTCGCGGACCCGTGCTCTGAGGGTTCGTCGAAGGCCATGGGGGCGATCAAGTTGCGCGTCTAGGCCATGGGCGGCGGCGCCCAGGTATTTTTCCAGTTGGCCTAGACCCAGAGCGCCAGATTATCGTGACCTCGAGGGGCCCATATATGCGCAATTCATCCGGATTTCAAAATTCCCAGCCAGCGGGGGGGTCGCTGAGTGCCAGAAGTTCCAGGGGGCGCTTGCCTTGGCGGTGCCAGGGTGACGTTGGGCAGCGAGGGTTGAGCGGGGGAATAAATATCCCGCGCCCTGCCTAGAGTTGGCCGCCGAGCTGCGCCGTGGGCGGTCGGGCCGCCGCCGCGGCCGTGGAGCTGTCTCGCTCCTCCGCGACGGCAGGGCGCGGGGGGCGCAAGCGCCGCGCGCCCCTGAGGGCCGCTGAAGTTGCCGGGGGGCCCTTCCATTTTCGCCCGGGTGACCGGGGGGGGGCCTCGCTGGGGCCGCGAACTCGTCTGGCGCGTGTCTGGCGCGCTCATGTGCCGCGATGCCCCCGCCCAGGGCGCGGGGTCTCGAGGGTCGGGGGCGGAGGGGCGTCGATGATTTCGGGGGCGGAGGGTCGGGGGCGGAGGGGCGGGGGAAGAGCGGGGCTCGGATCGGCCAGAACAACTGGCGCGCGGAAGCGGTGGGTGGCGGGCCAAATGGGCCCGCGCGCGCGTAGAGGTGGCGGTGGAGGAGGGGGGGTCGACGGCGCTGGGGGGCGCCGAGGGGCCTCGCAGACTTTCGCCGCCGGTCTGGCTTGAACCCCCGATCCCGGGGCGCCCGGAGAGAGAGACGGAACCGGGCGGGCCCCCCCTATCCTTCGAGCGAAGCGCGATTGACAGATTTTGCAGCGTTCTCGGCGCCTTGCGCGCGTGGATGCGGATCTTGAGCGCGCGCCCTTGTCTGCAGAGCCGGAGCTCGATCGGCCGGGCGGTGTCCGCCGGGGCCTTGGCGGGCGGCGTCGAAATATATTTCTTAAATCCCGCGCGGTTGGGGGTTGCCAGTTGCGGACTATGCCGCGTTTTGCGCGGCCCCTCCCAGGCGCGCTTCGGGCGGGGCGTGGGGGCGGGCCATCAGAGATGAGGCATCGCGCGTGATCAATGGGGACATCTTCATTATTGTAGTGAATCTTAGACAGTGTTATGAGCGCGTTTGATGCGAGGGCCACGGACAGGCCGCGGCCAGCCTTGCGCTCCCGCTGCGCGTGCTGCACTTTGCCGTTGCGACCTGCAAATGGCCCAGATTGTCGACGCTGGCTGGGGGGCCTCTCACGAGATCTGCCCGCGGAGGGGTGTCGTGGCAGGCTTTGGCGCGCCGACGATCGAGATTGAGCATCGCGTGTCTCTAGTCGTTTTGACGCGCCCAGGGTTGGAATCGCGGCCCGCCCCAGACGTTCGCATCGACGACATCGGCCTTCATCATAGTGAGCCATCCTTGCCGGTGGTTATCGGTCAAATGCGTCTGGCCCTAGTGTGCCTCGCGGATCGTTCCGCGAGCGAGTCTGGGCTCCCGTTTGCGATGGACAAATTGAACATGGACATCAACTTGAAGTCATTTTTGAGATGCGCTTCTTGCGGCGCGGGCGCGGCGCCTACGTGGGCCCTGGAGGGCGTTCCTGCGACCGTCAAATTGGGCTCTGGCACTGCCCCTGGCAGGGGTCCCGCGCGGCCCCGAGCCAAGAAGAATCGGCGTGCCAGACGGGAGAAAGCCGAGTGCAGGCTCGAGATTGCGGCCTCAGCGGGGCCGATAGTCAAGCGGGCGAAGTGGTGCTCTTGTGGCTTCGCGCCCAGTTTGACCCGCGGCGAGAAAATCGCCAGCGGGTTTCTCTGGGAGATCGGGTCAGCGGGGCGATGGTGGGCTTCTGCCCGCGTAGCAGCGCCGCGAGAAGCCTGGGGCTGGCCCGGGCGGCGCCGCCCTGGAGAACGCCCCGCGTTCGCCGGCGGCAGTCGCCGACCGGCCCGCGCTGAAACCTCCTGGGCCTAGTATCTTGGCGCCGCAACGAACTGGCAGGGCGCCTCGGCCCCGCCGGCGCCCAAAAAACTCAGCATGCTCCTCCGCGTAGGGCTGCGCCCGCTGTTCGCGGGCGGAGCCCGCGGGTGGCCGAGCCAATGTTCGTCGGGCCGAGCTCCCGGAGCATCTCGGCGCTCCCTCCTCGATGCAACTTCGCGGCTCGCCCGGCCCTCCGAACGACGTTTCCGAGCTCGAGGCCAGGGCGAATCCGTTCCCTCGCCGCGCGCGCGCGCGGCGAGGCCCGGCGATCCCGCTCGCGGAGTCGGGCAGCGTTGGCCTGGCTGCCGCAGAAGAAGCAGCCCCTGCGAACGCCGCGCCTCTGTCTGGTCTCCCAGGGCTCTGCGAGGTCTTCCGGGGGCCCGCCCGTCGAGCCTCTCGTCGGCGATCGTCGCCGCCGCTGCGCCCCCGGGCGCCTCCCGGGACCTCGCGGGATATTTCGGGGGCCAGGTGGCATTCCGGAAGGGGGCGAGGCCCTCGAAGTGGCCCATGGCCTTGGCGAAGGTCAGGTTGCGCTACAAAGGCGATGGGCCGTCGCGGGCCTTCGGCCGGGCGTTGTCGGCCATCGACCGCTCTCTGCAGGGTCGCGCTAGACCGGCCGCTGCGCGGTTCGATGGGGTGTTGCTTTGGGCCCAGGGCCCGCGCGAGCTGTGAATTGTTTCCTGTTGAGGACAGACCCAGAGCTCGCGCTTGGAGAGCAAGGGCTTTCATTTCTCGTTCCAGAAATTGACTGTGCAGCTCTAGTGACAATGAGTTGGTCTTCCGTGCATGTCCATGGGCGGCGCGGCCAGCTCTGCGCGCCCCTAGCGCAAAGTGTTCGGCGGGGCATTCCCCCGACCCCCCTTTCCCAGGTTGGGCCCGTTCGAAACTAGCAAACGACGCTAACGAGATGGCCATCATGACTTTCCGTGGGATGGATGTGGCAGATGAAGATCTAGACTCGGCCCCTCGTCCATCCAGAGGCCCCGAATGCCGCATTATAGTATGTTTCAGTAGGGTTGCTTCGCAGTGGCAAAACATATGGCCAGCGATCCAAGGAGCTCTCTGGCGACTTGGCCAGGATTCCGCGGGCCAGGAAGGGTTCTAGGCCCCCTTGCCCAGGCTTGGCTCATGTGGTCCGCTGTAGCTGCGCCAGATGGCAATGTTTCAGCTGTGCGAGAACCTTCGCGCAGCCACCCAGTGGAACGCATTGCCGTGCACAGCTTTCCCCGAGCCCTGGGATTTCCCGCAGGCTCTGCGGTGTCAGGTGTTGCGAATATGGCTTAGGTTTTGTTTTCTGCAAGAGCTGTGAGGCCGACTGTTCTAGGACCCCACCTTGTGGCAGTTTCAAAGCCCAGAAGCGGCTCTGGAGGCTGGCGAAAAACCGTCGCCAAAGAGCCACACCAGCAACAATCCCTGGCCCTTGTTTGCGGGTGCGGCGGAGTGGTAGGTCAGGTTCGCGAAGTCGCGCCCCCCGTTAAACTTGTCATTATTTTTTCGTTTCCATCTTCTGATCATGATCGTTGGGAGGGGATGAGGCTGGGAGGGGCTGAGGCGGTGCAAACAAAGGAACATTAGATGGAAGGGCAGGCAAAGGGAAGGAGGGTGAGGCGGAGGAGGGTCCACGCGCAGACGGGGGGTCGGCCGCCGCTGCCTCGCGAACGAAGCAATCAGACGTGAGCGCATGGATCGAAGAGGGAGCAGCTTGAGGCGAACAAAAGGCACGGGGAGGAGGACCAGGAGCGAGGGCGAGGAGGCCCGAACAGCCTGAGCGGGCACAGTCCTCGCACGGACAGCGCACTGGCATCAGTGGAGGAGTGGCTGCGCATCGGCCTCGAGCCGTGTCCGCCACTCGGTCGGCCCAGAGTGCCAGAGGGGGCGGATGGGACAGGCGGGGGGGGGGGGGGCGGGGGGCCCCTCGGCAGCGCTCGCCGGGACGTGGCGCAGCCGTGCACAGGCCGCGCAACCTGCGCCCCGTGGCCGCCAGAGGGGGCGGGGCGGGCGCGGCAGGACGTGGTGGCCTCTCTCGCGAGGCAGGTGCACGACCTCCTGCACCGGCCGGAGGCCGCCGGCGCCCGCCCCCGCCTCGCGGCGGGCCCCCGCCGGCCCCGCCGCGCCGGATGGCGTTCGGGTGTCCTCGCCGACGCTCTGCGCTGTCGGGCGTTTGGCTATGTTCAGGAGGGGAAAAACGCAGACATAATTAATCGTCGATTCCCCAGAAATGTGGGAAAATATGGGAAGTGGGGGGAAGACAGAAACCCAGAAAATATGGGAAAATATGGGGCATCTTTTTTATTTGTGTGTATTTATTTGTGTGTCCTGGGGCCCCTTCATGTGTGCGTTCGGACGTTTTGGTCGGCGACCTTTGTCGGCGGGGCGTTTTTTCGGCAACGCGCAAAAGGGGGTATGGGGGAGGGGGGAAGGCTTCTCAGAAACACCCCTGCTTCTTAGAAGGCGCGGGCCCTATCTGTGGGCGTAAGGCTGAGGCCTCCCAAGAAGCAGGGGTGCTTCCAAGAAGCCTTCCCCCCTCCCCCCTACCCCCTTTGGCGCGCCGCCACATCTGGAACGTTTCCGTCGGCTGCCGGAGGTCCTTCCGCATCGGAGCGCCGTCCGGCAGGTGCGCCCCGCGGGGGCCGTTCCGGGGGACGCCGGGGTCGCCCCGCGCGGCCCCCGGAGGCCCGAGGTGGGACCCGAAGTCTCTGTTGCATTTTCGGGGGACCTCGCCTGTCCCCAAAGTTGGTGTCTTTTTGGGGGGCCCGACGCGTGCTCGATGCGGACTCGACGCGGATTTGGCGCGGTTTCGACTCGGATTCGACACGGATCCGACGCGTCCGACATGGATTCGACACGGATTCGACGCGGACAGGGCCGCGACTGGGCAGACAAGGTCCCCCGAGGATGCAACATAACCGAAGTCAGGGCGAGGGTCACTCGCGTCGGACGACAAGGGGGGCATTCGGGGTCCATGTCTGGGGGAACGAAGGATGACAGAAACATGCAAACTCGGAACTCCGCGCGGACCTCCGAGTTTGTATGTCTATGCCATTCTTCGTTCCCCCTAATGTCGGCCGCGTCAGTCCGACTCGATGTCGACACTGACCGGCCCGATCCGATTCGTTGCTGCCTCTCTGGCAGCGCCAGGCGGCCCGGTGCTCGCACGGCGCAGTGGTGCACCCGGGCGCGGCCGATCCGTCTTGCCTCTGACCTCGGCGCCGTGCCGATGCCGCCCGATCCGGCGCGCGTGCCGAGCCGATCGTGTTTCCCGATCCTATGCTGGCTGGTGTTGCCTCCTTGTTTCGGGCCGGGCGAAAGGGGGGGATTGGGAAAGGGGGGTTACGAAATTTGCTGCATGCAGCTGGTTTCGGCCTCACCGAGGGGCCCGTTCCTCGATACATAGCCGCCTCCGGCGCCGGGAGGCGCCGGGAAAATCAGCTACGTGAGCTGATTCTCAAACCCCCCCTTTGCTATCCCCCCCTTTCGCCCGACCCGATTGTTCGAAGGCGAAGCTCAAGCCCCCGGCTCCCATGACTGGCGATGGCTAGTCGTTCCCACGCGCTTGCCAGGCAGTCCCGTCCTGTTCGCTTCCTTTATATTGGGCGCGCTTGCCAGGCGACCTCGATGTGGGGGTTGTCATTGTGTCGGTGGTTCTGCCGCCCTTCGTCCTCCGGCTCCTCCGGCTCCTCTGCCTCATCCTCCTCTGCCTCCCCTCTCCTCCTTCCGCCTCCTGCTCGGCTTCCTGCTGGGCTTCGCTCGTCACAGTGTCCTCTCTCCTCCGAACCTCGATTTCCTCCTCCTCAATCCGCTCGTCAGGATATCCTTCCTCCTCCTTTTGCTTCTCCTCCTCCTCCTCCTTCTCCTGCTCATCCTACTCTCCCCCTCCTTAATTTCGTCTTCCCGTCGACTTTATCATCCTTCCTTTCCTCCCAGTGCAGAGGGTGCGGGTCCGTTACGATCTCGTCGTCGTCGTCGTCGTCGTCCTGCGTTGTCGTCATTGTCGTTGTCGTCGTCGTCGTCGTCGTCGTCGTCGTCGTCGTCGTCTTTAGTCGTCGTCGTCGTCGTCGTCGTCGTCTTTTGTCGTCGTTGTGGCCGTCGTCGTGATCGTCGTCTTTCGTTTTCGTGGTTGTGGTCTTCGTGGTCGTCGTGGTTGCCGTGATCGTCGTCTGTCGTGGTCGTTGTGGTTGTTATGGTCGCAGTGGCCGTTTTCGTGGTCGTAGTCGTCGTCGTCGTCGTCGTCGTCGTCGTCGTCGTCGTCGTCGTCGTCGTCGTCGTCGTCGTCGTCGTCGTCGTCGTCGTCGTCGTCAACGCCGTCGCTTCTGCCAAACCCCGGCGCCGCCCAGGGTGCGTCAGGGGTGGTGCCCGCCGCGTGTCTCGGGTGCACGCCAGCAGGGTCCAGAGGATCGACGGGTACAATTCTGATTTCACCTCCTTTAGAGAGCAAGGAGGGGCGAATCCGCGCGCGGAGCCCTGGCCCGTGCTGCAGAGCCACGCGGCGTGATCGCAAGGAGGACGAAGGCGAGGAGGAGGAGGGAGGAGGAGGGAGGAGGAGGAGGAGGAGGAGGAGGAGCAGGATGAGGAGGAGGAGGAGGAGGAGGAGGAGGAGGAGGAGGAAAAGAGGAGTCATCACCCCCCTCAGAGCGGCGGCATCGGCACCCAGACACTCAGACATCGGGTGCGGAAAAGAGGGGGGTGATGACTAGGGGGGGGTGGATATCATGGCGGGGGCCACGGATTTTCCCCATTTTATGGCGCCTCTTCTTATTTCATTACGTCCCTGGCCCCCCCGCTGGGCCGCGCACATGCCGCCGGTCAAGATTTGCACCCCCCCCTCTTGGACACCCCTGTAGAGCGGGGTCGGACAGACCTCCTACCGAATCATGGTCGTCACCATGCGGGCCGGTGGTGCTGCCCCCCGCGAATCGATGCCCACGTCCGCGATGCGGCTGGGGTTGGGTCGGGCGTGTCCTCATCTTGGAAGAAGCATTTTGACTAGTCAGACAACTATTCCAAGAATCGGGGATGGACAGAACCCCCAACAGTGACACGTCGATTAGTGAATTGTCCGTTTTCGGTTCTCGAGAGGGCGCCGCGGCCGTCATTTTCCAGGCTTGCGCCCGCCAGGTTTGGGCCCGAGGCCGTTTTCACTAAACCACGTTTTACTACAGGGAGGTCTGTCCATCCCCGAATAGAGTGGAGGCTCATGCCAAGAAGCACCCTGCTTGCCTACAGGGCGCCCCAGGCTTCCTGGGGTTCGATGCTTTTGCGATGGAAAGCGCGACGCTCCCACGCCAAGCGTCAATGGACGTCCTGGGGTCTCAGGGTTGGGTCTCTTGTGGAAGGCTTCCTGTGGACCAGCCTCCGCGATACTTCTGAGCTGCACCTCGACATGTGCGAGCGCTGCCCCAAGAGAGCATCGCTTTGTGTACTCGCTGCCCTACTTTGATCACTGCAGGACCAGCCCTCGGCTTCCTTCTTTCGGCGCTATGGTCGCGCTGCTCGAGGAGGAGGAGGAGGAGGAGCAGGAGGGGGAGGAGGAGGAGGAGGAGGAGGAGGGGGAGGAGGAGGAGGAGGAGGAGGAGGAGGAGGAGGAGGAGGAGGAGGAGGAGGAGGAGATGGGGTTCAGAGAAGGAAAAGGTACCCATACCGCGACCCTTCGCGCCCGTCTTCCCTTTCTGGGTCTTCTGGGAGGCCCTCGTCGCCACCGCTGGATTCGCCTCGAAATTCTGGTCAGTACGCGCCCAGGGAGAGGTCTGGGGAGCAGCGGTATCGGTACATTCTGGTCTGCCCAAGAATAGGGCATTGTGGTATCCACTACTTCTCATGCTCCCCCCTGCCCCCCCCTGCGCTGCTCCCTGGGAGGCTGCGATCTGCGCAACCGTTGCCACTTTCGTGGGCTCCTGGGAGGTCCAGCGGAGTCGGGGGGTGCGCGCCAGAGGGGACCTCGCTGCTCAAGCGTCGCCATTTTCGTGGGCTTCTGGGAGGTCCAGCGGAGTCGGGGGGCGCGCGCACCCAGGCGAGACCTCGCTGGTCCCTGGGAGGCTGCGAACTGCGCAACCGTCGCCACTTTCGTGGGCTCCTGGGAGGTCCAGTGGAGTCGGGGTGCACGCGCAGGACCTCACTGGTCCCTGAGATCCTGCGATCTGCACAAGTGTCGCCACTTTCGTGGGCTCCTGGGAGGTCCACTAGAGTATGGGACCTCGCTGGTCCCTAGGAGGCTGCGAACTGCGCAATCGTCGCCACTTTCGTGAGCTCCTGGGAGGTCCAGCGGAGTCGGGGGGCGCGCGCACCCAGGCGGGACCTCGCTGCTCCCTGAGATGCTGCGAACTGCACGACTGTCGGCGCTTTCGTGAGCTCCTGGGAGGTCCAGTGGAGTCAGGGGGCACGCGCACCCATGCGGGACCTCGCTGGTCCCTGGGAGGCTGCGAACTGTGCAACCGTCGCCACTTTCGTGGGCTCCTGGGAGGTCCAGCAGAGTCGGGGGGCAAGCGCACCCCGTCGGGACCTCGCTGTTTCCTGGGAGGCTGCGAACCGTGCAACCGTCGCCACTTTCGTGGGCTCCTTGAAGGTCTGACGGAGTCGGGTGCTGCTCCCTGGGTGGCTGCGGACTGCGCCACTGTCACGACTCCCGTGGGCTTCTGGGAGGTCCAGCGTCGTTGGGCACTCCCACCCAGACGGGACCTCGCGGCTCCCTGGGAGGCTGCGAACTGCGCAGCCGTCGCCACTTTTGTGGGCTCCTGGGAGGTCCAGCGGAGTCGGGGGCCACGTGCACCCCGACGGGACCACGCTGCCGCGCGGGCGGCTGGCCCCCGTCGGCGTGCGGCCCCGTGGCGTAGCGCAGGGCGCTGCCACGTCACGCAGCGCATGGCGCTGTCCTCGGTGGCCCGCTCCCCCTCTCCTCGGACCGCCCGTCGCCTGCAGCCGGCAGCAAGTGCGAGCCGAGCAGATGTGGCGCATGGCGCTATCCAGGAGGGACAGAAACACGCAGACACAATTCATCCTCGATTCCCCAGAAAATATGGGAAAGTATGAGAAGTAGGGGGGAAAGCAAAAGCCAAGAACATATACGAAAGCATAACGAATCTGGTTATTTGTGTGTATTTACTTGTGTGTCCCAGGGCCCCTTCAGCTATTCCTCTCACCAGCGTTACCCCCTCTTCCCTCGCAATCCTCCGTGCCTTCCTCCCCTTCTTCGTCCTTCGTTTTTTGTCCCCCGTTCAATGCTGCGCAGGTGTGCGATGTGCGTGGCGCGCCGTAGCATCTCCTTCCCGAGTGTTGCATACGGCGCAATGTGTTCTTGTACATGAAGCGGCGTTTACATTGCTGGTCGCCTCACGTGCAGAAGGAATTGGGCACGTCTCGGGTATGTTTGTATCCTCTGGGGGGTAGCAGTCGCCACCCTGGCCAAACCACCACCCCTTGGGTGACGGTAGCGATCGTACGTGGTGGTGGGGGGCTGGACTATGTCGATCGCAGCGAACCCCCGCCCCGATGTGCCCCACCCCGCCCAAGCGTTACCGTTACCCCGGGCCCCAGCCCCCCATTCCCCCTGGTAACGACCGTCACCAGAAAAAAACGACAGTCTCAATCCGAGAAGCGGGTGCCACATGCAAACCCTGCCCCTGCCCCCCCCCACGATTTCCGATGGGGAGGGTGGGGTTCACTTCGCTCGGGGGCTCCCGAGCGAAGCGGACCCCACCCTCCCGCTCAGAAATCGTGGGTGGTAGAGGGTGGAGTTGACAAAACCGTGTGTGTGTGTACATATGTGTTTTCATAGTAGCACATGGTACGATCTCATGGAATCGCTATCAGGTTCCCGACATCCCACCGACTTGGTAAATTATGAGCAACGATCCGTACATCGAAGTCATTGGTATGGCAACGGCGATGACGGTGTTGCAATGATGGCGATATGAGAAACGGAACGGCTTTTGCACACGCGAACGTGCCATCATAACTTATTATCAGGTGAGCGCATGCTCAGTGCTTGTGCAAGCGCTTTGCGCTCGGCGGCAATTCAGATTCGACGACGCGTGGGTTAGCTGTCATCTTGATGCGAAACTTTGGTTGGACATCAGCGTCGCAGGCAAGTAGGTTCTGAGAGAACGAAAGCAAGGCCTCATGCTCCCGCATGTTCACGCCAGGGAATGCAGTGCGTGCGAAGGCGCCGAAGATTTTGCTCACCGTGGCAAGTTTGTACACGATCAATGCGTTGCGCCGCGTCTGGTGAAACACATTTCTGAAACATGATTTCAGCTGGAGCTTGAAGCTCTCCAGCGAGGTGGTACCGTCCATGTGTGGAGCATCTGGGTTTCTATGCGCACGTAAAGATGCATTCAGTAAGCGCCCGAGGCTCTGCTTAGTTGTAGCGCCCGTAAGCGACGCGAACGCAGTGCCGCCCTTTTCTGTGCGGCGGCGCATTGCTGCAGGATGCACGAAAGAGATGGCAGCAATGTCGCGCGCAAAATGATCCATACTCGCGTACGACTTCGCTTGGTACGTAGGACCCGCGATGTGTTCAAGGAGACGCCCGGCACGCCCAGGGGTCATGGGCCAAATCGTGCTCCCCAGCATCGAGTCGCGATTGCCCCTTCGCTTCTTGTAGTGTTGCGAGATGCCAAATGGAGAACCCTTACGGAAATTCGCCAAACGCCTGCGGATTGCGAGCGAACGCGGCGGCGATACTTGAGACACCAAGGAGACACCAGGGAGGCGTCGTATTGAGCGTCGTCCGAATGCCTTGGGGGGTTTCCGATGAGCACCCCGAGGGCACCCGAGAGAGAATTCGAATGCGCCCGATAAAAAAAGGCACCCCGACGGCTCCCAAACACAAGAAAAAACCCGAACGGCACTCCGAGGGCGCCCGATATCCACCCGAAGGCGCCCGAAAAGCACCCCGAAGGCGCCCGGAAAAAACACGCGATGAACACCCCGAGCGCGCCCGAAAAAAGGCACCTGGGAGGCGCCCGACAGGTGCCCTGAGGGCACCCGAAAGGCGCCCGATGAGCACCCGCGCCCGAAAAGGCACCCGACAGGCACCCGCGAGGTGCCGCGGAAGAAGGCGAGGATGCCAGAGCGTCGTCGTCGCCGTCGTGCTCGCCCCCCTTCTCTATCCCCACGTCCTTTATCCTCCCTCTTCTTCCTCCGCGTCCTCCTCCTCCTCCTCCTCCTCCTCCTCCCTCCCTCCCTCCTCCTCCGTTCTCCCTCTTCCTCCCCCTTTTCCCTCTGTTCCTCCTCCTGCTGTTCATTCTCCTGCTGCTCCAGCGGTCGGAGCGCGTTCGGAGCAGAAGTTCGAGGCGGGTCCAACCGTGGCCCCGCGAGGCCTCCCAGAGGCCCGAGTGTACTCCAGATTTCGTAATAAAAAGGGAGGGGGTCTGGACCCTCCAAGACAAACCATTTCAGACCCCCCCCGTGGGAAAACCTTCCAAAACATCGTCTCCAGACCCCCCCAGGCCCTCCAAGATAGCCTGGAAGAGACCCCCCCCCGAAATGAGACCCCCCTCCCTTTATTACGAAATCTGGAGTACCCTCATGAATGTACAACTGACATGTAATACGCAAAACCGATAATCTGTGTCAAGCAATGCAAGAACCTCACTTCGAAGGCACCCAAGGAAGTCTGCAACGGGATCCGGAAGACACCCGCGAACCGCCCTTGCAACATCAATAGCGACGACCAACTCTCCAACTATTTGTGAATGTGCTTACAGAGTGCATACGTTCGAAAACGTTTTGCGCCAGGCGACCCAGGGTTCCCTGTGTAGGGCACCCGATCAATTACCCGCAGGGTACATTCCAAGGCTCCCACGAAGCATCCGGAAAACCAGAAAAAATCCAAAAAGGCACCCGCAAAACGCCAACACCAAATTCCATGAACAGATATATTTTCGAAAAGTGTTTTTTTTTTTTTTTTTTTTTTTTTTTTTTTTTTTTTTTTTTTTTTTTTTTTTTTTTGTTTTTTTTTTTTTTTTGAAATCTGCGATTACGATAAGCAACGCTGTGCCCAAGAGGCCCAAGGATTTCATTGCCAAGGCACCCGCAAAAGACCCGTAAGGCACCCGAGAGGCACCCAAAAGGCACCCGCAAACCGCCCACACCAGATTGCAAGAAATCATACCCTTTCGAAAAATGATGCACGTGCGAATGAAATGTGCGACTATGGAAACAACTTTGTTTCAAACGGCCTAAGGATATAATTGCCAAGGCACCCGCGAAGCACTTGTTACGCACCCCTAGTACCCCCCCCCCCCCCCCCAAATTTTCAGAAATAGCGATGTTTTGCGCGAGGCGACCCCTGAGGACCTCATGTTTGTGTGCTCCGGCCCCCACAGAGTTTGCAAACAATACGCGCCATTTCCCCCTTTTCATCGCCTTAGGAAGCCATTGTGGGGAGCGGTAAGCGTTTGCAATCGCGAAGCCTGCACGCATTCTCCCCCATTTTTTTTTTTTTTCTTTTTTTGTTTCTCTCTCTCTCTCTCTCTCTCTTTTTCTCTTTTTTTTTTTTTTTTTCTCTCTCTGTCTCTCTCTCTCTCTCTCTCTCTCTTTATTTCCATCCGCTGACAAAACGGCTCTTTTTGTTGCGAATTCCAGCGTTTTTTGTGGGGGTTTACAATTTGATTCCTTTTGTGGCGGGTTCCACAAAGATTCGTGGTGGATTACACATTGATTCCTTTTGTGGCGGATGACAAATTGTTCTCTTTTATTGCGAATTTCAAACTGATTTTCTTTTGTGGCGGATTACAAATTGATTTTTTGGTGGCGGATTACAAAATTCATCCTTTTGTGGCGGATTACACATTGATTCCTTTTGTGGGGGCATGTAGGAGGAAACCCGGGGGATAACAAATACAAACAAATGGGAAATCAATGAGAATTGTGAAAGTGTTGTGTTTTCGATTTTTTCGGTGTCGAGTGGTCGGGAAAAAAACTATGGAAACACAGCGTTTTCAGCATCCAGAGCTCCAAAACGTTGTGTTTTACAGCGTTTTTTGTTTGTTATTTTTTTCCCCCTGTCGGAGACAAAAATCGTTGTACAACACAGCGTTTTGGAGCTCTGGATGCTGAAAGCGGTGAGTGTGCCGTTTTTAATTTAAACAAGCACCATTCGACCCCGAAACATTGATCACATAACGTTTTCACAGCTTTCATTGGGTTATTCAACATTTGTTCCTTCTTTCTCTCCGTGGTTTCCTCCTACATACCCCCACAGAAGAAATCAATTTGCAATCCGCCACAAGGATTGCTTGTGCAATCCGCCGCAAAAAGAATCATTGTGTAATCCGCCACAATAAGATTCCTTTTGTAATCCGCTACAGAAGGAATCAATGTGTAACCCGACCCGCCACAAAAGGAAACAGTTTGTAATTCGCCACATAAGGAATCAATTTGTAATCCGCCACAAAAAAAGGGTCAATTTGTATTCCGCCACAAAAAGGAATCATTTGTAATCGCCACGCAAGAAATCTTCTTATATTATGCCAGAAAAGAATTCCATTTGCAATCCACTACACATGAATAGTCCCTGTAACGAACTGCCACAACATACGCTTCGTTGTAGCGTTCTGCCCAAAAGATGACGAAAACAACAATCGACAAGACAAGCAAGTACATAATAAGTAAAAATGCCAAAAACCGAGGTGGTACACACACACGCACACGGTTTGGTCGACCTTACGGGGGTAGGGGCAGGGCTCGCATGTGGCCCCCTGCGGACAACGGAGGCGACGAGGGCCAAGGCGAGGCGACAACGAGGACGACGAGGGCGACGGGCACGCAGGCGGCGAGGGCGGCGAGGATGAAGGCGAGGCGACGACGAAGGCGGCGAGGACGAGGCGACGAAGGCTGGAAAAGTGCGCGCGGACCTGCGGAATTCGCGGCCCGTGCCGTCTCTTCCTCTTCTCCCGGTGGCGGCCGAGCGCCGCGCAGCGCGCCCTCAGCGCGCCCAAATCAGGGGGCCCCGCACGGCGAGCTGCTCCGCGAGCTGCAGGAGGAGCTCCGCTTTATTCCCCGCCGCGGGAGGTCACCGCGCCGAGGGCCGCCGTCGGCCGCCGCCGCCGCCAGACGTCGTCGTCGTCGTCGCCGCCGTCGTCGTCGTCGCCGTCGCCGCCGTCGTCGTCGTCCTCGTCGTCGTCGCCGTCGTCGTCGTCGTCGCCGTCGTCGTCGTCGCCGTCGTCGTCGTCGCCGTCGTCCTTGTCGTCGTCGCCGTCGTCGTCGTCGTCGTCGCCGTCGTCGTCGTCGCCGTCGTCGTCGTCGCCGTCGTCCTTGTCGTCGTCGCCGTCGTCGTCGTCGTCGTCGCCAGCCCAAACCGAAGGCCCCGATGTGCCCTCCATTCCCAGTGGGAGGGGGGGGGGGTCGGGGAGCATGGAAAAAAACATATGAGGCCCGTGCCCCCCCCCCAACCCGAAATTCGGGTCTTCGGGTTGGGTTGGGGTGGTCTGGTAGGTGGTCAGGGGGGGGGCACCAGAGGAGGGAGGGCAGGGGGAGGGGAGCGGGGGAGGAGGGGAAGGCGGAGGAGGGGGGGTGGACCAGGCGATCGCAAACATGGATCACGGGGGCGTGGATTAGCGACGGGTCCCGCTTCCATGGGGAATCGCGGACTTCCGCCGCCGAGCGAGGCGGCACCGGACGCAGTTTGGGGAGGGCGCCTCCCCCGATGCATGGAAATTGGCGACCGCGCGCCAGATCCACGGATCGCTAATCCCTGCTTGCGCGTCCCCGACGGGTGGAGGGCGGTTGGAGGGCGGGGGGAGGGCGGGCGGGGGCGGGCGGGGGCAGGGGGGCAGGGGGGGGAGGGCGGATGGGAGGACAGGGCTCGAGGGGGCAGGGGGGGGCAGGGGGGCAGGGGGGGGGAGGCAGGGGGGGGAGGGCGGGCGGCGGGCAGGGGGGCAGGGGAGGGGAGAGGGCGGGTGGGGGGACAGGGGGCTCGAGACGGGGAATTGCCCACGATCGCCGCCTGGGGACACCGACCTCTCGGGGGGGGCCTCGGCGGGCGGTGGGCCTGCAGGGCGAGGCGCGGCTCGCGCCGTCTGAAGCTCGGCTGGCCAGGCTCGGCCAGGCCAGACCCAGCCGGGCGGAACTCGATTTAAGCACACATGTGCATGTGTAACTTGATATATCTATGTGTAGAAGGAGAGAGAGAGAGAGAGAGAGAGATAGAGAGAGAGAGAGAGAGTGAGGAGGAGGAGGAGGAGGAGGAGAAAGAGGAGGAAGAGGATGATAATGGGAAAAATGAGGAAGGGGGAGGAGGGGGAGAGGGATGAAGACCAGTGTAAGCCTAAGTCGCAACAGCGACGTCGCAATAGACACTCTCTCCAAGTTCCCTCTTCATACGTGTTCATAGGGCACTGCAAGAATTTGTTCTCATTTTAAGAAATGCCCCATTGAACATCAAACGTCTGAGAATCTTCAATCTTGTCAAGGCACCCTTTGTGTCAGCATCGCGAGTCAACGCGATTGTTGCGTCCTGACAACCCTAAACTGTGGCAGATCACCATTCTTGGGACTTCAACAGTGCGACTCAACATGATTGTTGTGTTCTAACAGTCCTAAAGCTTGTTAGAACAGAGTTCCTGGGACTTCGACCATGCGAATCCTTGAAACGGTTGCAAGCTTGCAGAACTGATAAGCGCGGCGCTAAGGCGAGGGCCAACTTTTGAAACAGAACTGCCCTTCATCTGCGAAACGGTTGCACACTTTTACGACGAATCTGCGCGGCGCCCAGGCAAGAGAGCCGCATGTTGGAAGCTGCCCGTGCTCCAGTTGTGAATCTGCTGCACTCCAGACCATGGAGTGGTGAGGAAGTCCCGGTCGAAACTTCCGGCCCGCCCTGCCGGGGTGCGACAGGGATGAGTCATTTATCAGGAAGAGGGATGGAGGAGGAGGAGGAGGAGGAGGAGGAGGAGGAGGTGAAGGAGGAGGAGGAGGAGGAGGACTAAGACGAGGAGGAGGAGGAGGAGGGGAGGAGGAGGAGGAGTCTGACGAAGGAATAAGACGAGGAGGAGGAGGAGCAGGAGGAGTCTGAGGAGGAGGAGGAGGAGGAGGAATACGACGAGGGACGGAGGAAGATGAGGATGAGGTGAAGGAGGAGGAGGAGGAGGAGCAGGAGAGGAGGAGGAGGAGGAGGAGGAGGAGGAGGAGGAGGAGGAGGAGTAAGACGAGCAGGAGGAGTCTGACGAATAGAGAGAGAGAGAGAGAGACCAGGTCAATCCAAGACGGCTACGGCGAATCACCGCCGCCCCCTGCCTTTTTTGGAAGCCCACATGCAGCCGAAAGTTGGGCTAGAGCTTGGCCAAGCTATCGTACCAGGCGTTCCCCCTGCCGTCGTTGGAACCCTTCGGCGCTCACGTGAGGAAGAGGATCATGAGGAGAAGAAGGAGAAGGGAGGAGGAGGAGGAGGAGGAGGAGGAGGAGGAGGAGGAGGAGGAGGAGGAGGAGGAGCCACTTGCGAGCCCCTTGGGGCACTCTTAGGGTCTTCGGTCTTGGAGGCCTCGTGGGCGTCTCCGTCGGCCGCTCGGGGGCCTCGCGCTGGTCGTCTTTTAGGGCGCTCCCCGGCCGTCTGACGCCGTCGGGAGCCGTCCGATGGGGCCTCCCTGGACCGTCTTGGGGCTCTCTCGGGGCGCTTCAGGTAGGGGGCCACATGCGAACCCTACCCCTACCCCCCCACGATTTCTGAGGGGGAGGGTGGGGTAGGGTTCGCATGTGGCCCCCTATCAGCGTCCGCCCCGGGGCCCCCTTGGAGGGCTCGAGGGCGCTCCAGGGGCGATCCTTGGCCTCTTGGGCCGTCTTGGGCCTGCGGAATGCCGGGAAGCACATGCCAGAATCAGTCCAACACCTCAGGGGAATCAATGATTTCGGCTTCGTCGGACGTTCCTGGATGATCTCTTGGAGGCCTCTTCAAGAGGCCTCCAAGAGTCTTGGGCCGTCTTGGAGGCCTCTTGGGAGCCTCTGGGGCCACCTTGGGCCATCTTGGAACCATCTTGGGCCGTCTTGGTAGGCTTGGAGGCATCTTGGGCCCTCTTGGGCCGTCTTGGAGGCCACCTTGGAGGCCGTCTTGGGTGAACTTGGAGGTAATCCTGGGCCGTCTCGGGGGATTTTTTGTGGACGTTGAGGTCGTTTGCGGGCCTTCCGCGTGGCCAGCGGCACGGGCCGACGCCCCAGGGGGAGTCTGAACAGAACCAGAAGCCTCCTGAACCTCAGCACGCCAGGCATCCCTGTGATTAATCAAGACGGGATGCGACGGATCTACTGGCTTTCGGCCAACCCCGCCCCCGCAGTTGTGTTGTACAGTGGAAAGCCCATACCAGGAAACACCCTGCTTGCCTCCAGGGTGCCCTGGGTTTGGAAGGTCTCTTGCGGTCGAGCTCCTGCTGTATTGGCTTTCGGCGAAAGGTCCGCCCCAGCAGCTGTGTGTGTGTAGGCTACAGGCCTCATGGAAGCCTCTTGGGTTTTTATCCGGCGGCCTCTAGGCGCTCTCCTCCGGTCAACGCTGGGGGTGTCTAGGGGTTTTCTCTTTGAAGCCGTCAGAGGGACTGTTTTTGTCTTTCGGGTCTCTTGGGGGGTTTTCGGTCGCATATCATGAGAGCCTGGTGTGCCCTCTCAATTCCGTGTTCAGCGTTGATTAGCATCGATTAGCGTCTCGGAGTCGATGAGGTAGCGCCGATATAGCGTCGATTAGTGTCGATGTAGCGTCGAGTTAGTGTCGATCAGCGTAGACTCGCAAGAGCTGACAATCTGGTACGGGAGGCTCCCATGAGTTGCCACAGATGGGGGTTCATGGGCGTCTTCTGCGTTTCTTGGCGGCCTGCTGGCGGGTTCGGATGTCATCTTTCGGCGGAGGGCCTGAGATGCTTGTGGGTGCTTCTCGTCGGCTTCTCGTCGAGCTCTCCCAAGTGTCTGTTGGGCAGATCTGGAGACTCCATGGGCTGTCTTGTGATGATCTTTGGTTGCCTTGCGCAGACCTTGGAAGCTTTGACGGCCTTTGAATTCACATATTCTGGGCGGCCGCTTCAACTCACAACCCTCTTTCGGTTGCTAATTGTTTTCTTAACCACCATTCGGCTGCTCTTTGAATGCGCAACTCGTTTCAGCGGCCTCTTGAATTGAGAACCGCCCGTCGGCGGCCACTTAAATTGGCAGCCACCTTTCGGCGCCTACTTGAATTCACAATCGCATGTCGTTGATTATTTGCATTCGCAATCACCCTTGAGCGGCCATTTGAATTCATTATTACCCCTCGGCGACCCTATGAATTCACAATCACGCTTCGGCGGTCGCTTGCATTCACAACAGCGGCCATTTCAATTGGCGACCACCGTTCGACGCCTGCTTCCACTTACAACCAACTTTCGGCGGCTACTTCAATTTGCTGTCGCGTTTGGGCGGCTGCTTGATTCCACAAACGCCTTCGGCGGCCACTTGGATTCACAATCACCTTGCGGCCCCCACTTGAACTCAAAACTACCTTTTGGCGGCCATATGCCTCGCCACCACCCTTGGGCGGCCACTCGAATTCCCTATCACCCGTCGGTGGCAACTTGAACTCACAGCCACTCTTCGGCGGCCGCTTGACTTCAATCACTTCGCGGTGGCCAGGGAAGGCTCTCGGGGTCATCTTCGGCTTCTCTGAGGGCTGTCGGGCCCAATTTCGCGGTCCTTGGGCTCTCCCCTCCTCCTCCTCCTCCTCCTCCTCCTCCTCCTCCTCCTCCTCCTCCTCCTCCTCCTCCTCCTCCTCCTCTCCTCCTCCTCCTCCTCCTCCTCCTCCTCCTCCTCCTCCTCCTCCTCCTCCCTCCTCCTCCCTCCTCCCTCCTCCTCCTTCTCCTCCCCCTCCTCCTGCTCCTGCTCCTGCTCCTCCTCCTCCTTCTGCTCCTCCTCCTCCCCCTCCTCCTCCTCCTCCCCCTCCTTCTCCTCCTCCTGCTGCTGTCTTTGTGGCGCTCGAGTCTCAGGGGGCAGCCGGCCTCGTGCCTCTCGAGGCGTGGTGGCAGATCTTCGCCT